GGTTGCATGCGGGTGCTGCTGCTTTGAAATGCACAAGAGCCCCCGCTGAGGACCCGTGTACATTTCAAAGCTGGCACTAGCAAGCCGCATGCAGACCGGGGCCAGCGGGAAATCCCTTGGGCTCTTGTGCATTTGAAAGTGGGTAGAGCCCCGACTTTGAAATGCACAAGAGCCCCCACTGGGGCTCTTGTACATTTCAAAAGAGGAATGCGGAAGTGCCCATCGAAATTCCATCAATAACTCGACTAGTAAATTAATCGATATTTAACATCCTTAGAACAAGGAGAAACAAGGGGTCCAACTCTAGCTGTGAGGCAGTAAGAGGGAACGAGAGTGGTGGCATTCTGTGTGGCCTCTTATTTAACTGAAAGGGCAGATTTCTAGAGCTGTGAAGGAGGAGAAGGGTCCTTCTGATTGCAGAATTCCAGGCAAGAATCCATAGCATGTAACTGATGGAGCTCTGTCATTGGAAGCTTAGCTTGTGATCACCTGCCTTCTCCCATCAGCAAGCATGCTACAACAAAAGGAAATATTGCTGTGAGCTCCAGAAGTTTAGTAGTTTTATTCCACTAATACCTTCAAGCCCTCCCAGTAATGTGTCTGTGAAGTAGTGGGCATCCTGCTTATCACTGCACAGAGTAAAAATATATATATTAAAAATAAGATTGGTGACACCTCCACAGATTTGGGCACTCACCTAAAGCTGCTCAATAGCTGGAATTGCAGTTGACTCTGTGGTAGTTCTGTGCCCTCAATCTCTGCAGAGTCAGACCAATATAATTGGTCTATTAGCTGTGTAGCCAGATACCAAGGTGACACATGTGAGATAAAACACAGGAACACAGAGAGAGAATGAATCGTTTCTGAGTAATAACAGACCTATAGATCAAATTAAACTTGATACCCAGTCACCAGCTAGATAACACTAGGGTGTTCTTTAAAAAACTCAGTTGGACTGTACATCCTTTTTCCTAGGCACTGAGCTTCATTGATTTGATTGTTGATTTGAACTTTACTCTTAAAAATACCCATAGGGTTTTAGGACCTCAGTGAGGAGGGATATCTTTAACTGGTTAGCTTCTCCACACTGAGCTAGGGGGAAATCTACTGGCAGATACTATTTGAAATTGCTATTACAGTCACCTTCAAAAAATGTGTACTAATGTAACCCAGTATGAACTGCCTAACAGTACTATGTGTGGGAGACCAAATGATTTCCCAGCATTACCCTATATGCCTGGCACAGCCTCATTGAAGTTCCAAACGCTGCATTGGAATGATTTCATTTGCCAGATCACCAGCAGCAAAAGGATTTTTTGGAGGGGGCCATCGAGGGGACTGTGCTGGAAGCCAGTTGCTGAAACACTGACTAGCAGAGTCACAAAAGCCTGTGACCGTTTTGATAGTCAGTGAATATAAACTGATATTAAAATAGAACTGATCAGCCTGTAAAAGAAACCCTTATCTTTCCGACAGTGACGTAGACGATAGCGGGCTGTGTTTCTGATGGATTAGGACAACTGAGAAGGATTTGATTATTTAAATTATGTGGTTGTAATTTGACATTTTTCATAAGAATCAGGGATTTTAAGACTACAGGGAACCGTTGAGATTGGCTTCTTATATAGCACCTGCCATTGAATTTCACTCCTGTATTAGGGATGTAAAAATCGGGTTAAAAATGTAACTACTAAAAATCCTAGCGCTTCCATGCAAAGCCTTTAGCACAGCCTCCCTGTGGTGGAGGGGTGGAGCAGTGGCAGGTGGGGAGTGGCTCCGGTTAACTGAAACCAGTAAGCCTCACCCTTAACCTTTTTCATCCCTGTCCTGTATTGAGCCCGGTAACTTTTATTTGGCTAAAATATCTTCCAGAAAGGCTTCTAGTCTCCATTTGAAAACATTTCTGCTTTCTGTTGTGTGTGAAGAATTTTGGTGTACGTCCTTATGTGTTGTCATTCCTCCCCCTGGCAAAAGGTGAACTGACTTGCCCATTGTACTCCCAGTTTTTATAGTCCCCTGTCACCACCAAGGCACTGGTGCAAAACCCACTGAAATTTAGACTATGGGCTTTGGAACAGGCCCTTTGCTGGTGAAGCCACAAAGTCGGTATTTCTTCCTGAGGTGCATGCCGTGATTAAAACTTAGAAATGCGGCTGCACAGTGAATGTTCTCTGAAAAACAAACACTGGTTCATTTTGTTGTCTGGCTCTTCTTAAGATCTTACAGGCTCTTGGAAAGTCGTACCATCCTGGCTGCTTCCGCTGCGTGGTATGTAACGAATGTTTGGATGGAGTGCCCTTCACTGTGGACGTGGAGAACAATATTTACTGTGTCAAAGACTATCACACGTAAGAACCCAGATCCATTGACTGCTTTTGAAAAGTTGTTCATATTGAATCATCTTTGCAATAGACACGGATTTCAGTGGGTGTTAGGTGCCTAAATACCTTTACAAATCAGGAATGGAGTCTTACTCCTGTTCATCCTAAGGCCCATTTACACCCCTCTGACAGCATAAAGAGTCACTTACACTTACATCTACTGAAAGGTCACTCTGTGCTGCCAGAGCAGTAATGAAGAATCAGGCTTTACACATGAATCCTCTCCTGAGGGGCTGTTGAGGTTGCTCATGAACTCGTAGGGCTCTGTGTTTGCACACAGGTAAATCCTCTGTTCCTGGCAGAGCCTAGCACTATTAATCATGGGGAATAATGGGGTAAAATGGTTTGTAATATTCCAGTTGGGGTTAGAATTGTTTGTCATCCAGATGACAACTCTTAGGGGCTGTCACCGCTATCCCACAACCCATGGGCCACATCATGCAATGGGATCTGCATATGCAAAGCCCTGTGCCCAAGAGGAATCATACTGAAGTCGGCAGGACTCCAGATCCTCTCCAATCCAGCCAAGCCCAGGAGTGGAGTGAATATTAGCACAACTGCATTAGAGCACAGCAGTAGATGAGAATGTTTGAGCAGCTGAGTGTCAGCGGATTTCCTCATCCTCATCCCCAAAAACTCCAAAAACCAATTGTAGTCTTGAAGTCCCTACCACTGTTTCTGTGCACAGGTGTTAGGGCTGTAACCATATAGGAAAGCTGTTCAAGCCCCTGTCCTAGAGTCATCTTCACTATGTAGTCCCTCTCTCTCTCCTTTTCCATACTGAAAGCCTCCTGGAACTTTCCCCCATTACCTGGTACCCATTCCCCTCTCATTTAACAGTATCAAGAGGGCAGGATGGTAGTGCTACCCTGATACTGCTGGTCATAAGCCCCAAGTCAAGAAACACTTCTCTGTACAGGTTCATGCAGGAAATGTGCATGGAAGTTATTAATAAAAGCATTGGATACAGTAGTCAATGCAGAAGGGGGAAGGTATTTGTTGAAATATATGTGGATGTTAGAGAGATCTGACATAGAAAGAGATGCAAGATTTAGAGAGAGGCTA